TGTGCGCAGACCATTTCACGCACTGTGCGCAGACCATTTCACGCACTGTGCGCAGACCATTTCTCGTACTGGGTGCAGACCATTTCACGCACTGTATGCAGACCATTTCACGTATTGTGTGCAGACCACTCCCACTGCACAACTGATCTGTGTCAATTTAGCTCTTCAATATTCCAGGAGCCGGGAAGAGAAAACCCAGGTCTCACACAGTGGCACATTTGTGTGTTGGGAGACCTTTAGCAAAGCAGGGACTATCGACACTGGTTATGCAGATGGAGATAGGAACCAGGTGAAAGGAAAATTCTGTAAGAGGAGCTGAAGCCAGGACTGTGATAAAAGGGTAGGAATATTTGTCATTTAAGATTAATTATGCTACTCTTTCCAAGAGTAAAGAGATTAACACTTAAGTTAGAATCTCAAAAAGGGGAAATGCCATTTGATAACATTTCCAGGTCACAGGGGTAGAAAAAAGTGGGTGCTGGTTGCAAAATGCTGTTTGCCTTGTGGGGGAAGACCCACAGGATAAGAAGCTTGTAAACACTAAGTTGAGAGTTTTCGTGGATTTTTGAGAAAAGGATATAAAATTACCCACCCTGACATGTCAGAGGCGTCAAAAAAAAGTCCCAAACAAAGAGCACTGAGAGGGCACCTGTGCAGGACTCCTGGTGAGTGCACCCCGCGCTATCTGTGCTCATCCAGACAAGGGTCAGCACAGCAGGTGCCAGATGCCAACCCAACCACCCATGAGGTGATGATGTGTATAATCACAAACTGTCACCAGTGCTGGAGAGAAGGGGCTCCCAGTGGTTTACTCTGGAAGTGCTGAAAGGGTTTTCTTAAAGACTAAAGAATATTTGAGTAGGAGTTTGTAAAGCTAAGTATTTCATTGTGTAGAAAGAAAATACTTCAGGAAAAAAAACAAAGCATTTGATGATGATTCCCTAATGCAGGAAGGAGGATGAGAATCAAATAATTGAGACACAGGCAGTTAAGAGTCCCCAGCGTGCAGGTGCACATGTGGGTACTTAAGGGAAGGGTCATATCTTGGTGTGCTTGCATTGCTAGAAGTAATGATTTTATAAGCTTGAAACCAATATTCAATTGTTTATTATGAGGAGGTTGGAAATTGAATTAATGAAATGATTGCAGATGATGAGCAAAGGGAACAGAAACAGGAGAGAAGTGGATCAGAGAAAAGCACAGACACATCTGGACTACAGGATCCATACTGAGAAAGTCATAATCTGTTGCAAAATGCAACAACCTGGAAGCCTGGCCCTGTAAGACAAGGATACTGTCTTGCTGGAGTTTCACTCCTCCCCCAGCACAACTGGGCCCCAAGGTCTCTAAGAACTCAGAGGCCAGGCTCCCACAGGTGGGACTGCCCTCTTGGAGAGAGTGAGTGCAGGGGGTTGGGAAGATTTACAAGAGAAGGTGAAATGCACTGAAAACAGCACAAACGCTTTGACCTCATTAAGGGAGAATTTTTTCAGGAATAGATAAGGAGAAAATATTTCCTTCCTTCTATCTTCTCAGTATGTCAGAAGTACCAGTCGTCTGAGCACAAGGCTTCCCGAGTGTAAGTGCATTCCTGAGATTTATGTGCGTGGTCTGATTGGGGTCTGCTTTGACATCCTGCTCCTGGACTGTGCTCCCTGTCCATGCTCTATTTGTGTTAATATCATAAATAACTCAGAGTAATAATTGTGAGAGGTAAATCAGTCTAATTAACATAGCTAAAGAAATAGTTTGTTTAGAAAATGCAAGCCCAGCAAGAACCATGACATAAGGGTTTAGCCTTCCCCCATAGACTGATTATTAAAACAGTGATATATGTAATAAAAACGGAGCTAGCCTGCAGTGAGGGCCTTTTCACCAGACCTGATGCTTGAAGTTGGTCAGTCACTCTGACCCAGCTGCTCTAAAAAGAAAACTTTCTCTTTATGTCTTAACTTTTCCACTTTCCCACACTCTCTCTTCTCTGCCAGTTGCTGGGCGAGAATTCAAGGTATAGTTTGGGGCTGGTCCCCTACACCAGTGATAGTGTTCTGGGGCAGACCAGGAGGAGTTTCATGGTTTACACTCTGGACTTTGCAACAAGGATTGTGAGCTTTGTCCCAGGAAAAAATGTAAACCATTGGGAAACAGAGGATGGTGATTTCAATGAGGAGGTGGCCACAGAGAGGAGAGAAGCAACTGAATGAATATTTAGGAGATGACAACACTTATAGGCATTAAGGAGGTAAAGAAATAAAAGCAAGTCAAGCAATGGTCTTCCGGGACTAGACTAAGGAAAAACAAACAAACATAATCAACACAGCACTGAGAAAAAAGATCAGAAAACAGAATGAAAATAGTACATGCCTTATAAAAGTCACCAGAGGTTAAAAAAGAACAAAGTGATGAGGTTCTCACCACTTCATGTCAGTGATTCAGTTTTATTAATTTTCATGGAAGTATTTAACTTTGAGCATATTTACAGTGGCAGATAATTTATCCAAGCATTAAGATGCTGTATTCCACTTGTCATAGTCTAATCAGTATTTGACAATTTATTACTTATGAGGAAATCTCAGACTTCCATTTACTTGAAAATTATTTAATAGATTTCTCAGCAGACTAGGATGAAATGAGTATTATAAAAAAAAGGGATAGCAGTAGATGCATAGTCCGATTTCTCTGTAGATATTCCAATTGAATATGTCCTGTGCTCTGGGTAGAATGTAAGAAACAAAGACAGATTTCAGGATTATGGTGTGTCTAAATTATTACCAGTCTTAGAAGAAAAACACACAAATGGGGTCAGAACCACAAAAAATCAATTTTCCATTCTTTTTGTCATCTGAGTAACATAATTTTTTTGTAGCCTATCATCAGAAATCTGTGTATACATTACTTACGTTACAAAGACATTTCCTGGTAATTCAGAGCAGCTACTGTTTCTCTTTTCCTGCAAATACCCAGGCACCCATATGCATAGTATTTCCTGTTGAGCCTTTTTTCAGACCTAGCAGGCTCAACTAGCAGGGGTGACAGAGGACAGTGGCATTTTCATATGTGATGGGTATAGAACCTGGTGGTTCTACCATGTTTCCCCAAAAATAAGACCTACCCTGCTAAAAAGCCCTAGCAGGACTTTTATGCATTTGTTAAATAAAAGCCTTTCCCCAATAATAAGACCTAGTGATAGGCATGGCAGATATGCTGCATAGCCAAGCCACACATTTCAGCATGGAGCAGTAAGGAAGACTGGAATATCTTTTATCTGCCACAGCTCCTTTCTCCCAGCCATTCAAACTTGCGCAGGTCCACGTGTGGTAACCACGGTTGCAGACATCCTATTGCGCACATGGGAACGGCTAGGGGAAAGGAGTTCACGCATCACTAGCACCAGCCCCACCACAAGGTCAGCTCCCCCTGTCAAGTTCCAGAAGAAGGTGACTTAATTGTATTTGAATAAATGTAGATTGTTGTATTATACTTAATAAAAGTAAGACATCCCAGGCTGTACTTGTGGCTCAAAGGAGTAGGGCATTGGCCCCTTATGCCAGAGGTGGAGGGTTCAAACCCAGCCCCGGCCAAAAACTGCAAAAAAAAAAAAAAGAAAGAAACATCCCTTGAAAATAAGCCCTACTGTGTTTTCTTGAGAAAAAAATTAAAATAAAACAGTGTCTTATTTTGGGGGAAACACGGTAGCAAGATCTTCCACACTGATCATGACACCCAGAAAGCTCAACGATAGAGTACCTGTGTCTACCCTGAGGGTATTAGTTTACCTGGAACTACTCCACAATTTGGAACTCAGATGAATGCACCTTCTAACAGAGGCAGAATGAACCTGAACTCTCAGAAATTCACTTAAGCTATCATGAGGACCAGGAGCTCCAGCGAGCCCTTCCCTTGCAGTATTTGCAGCATCTATGGGTGATGAAAACACGCAGCAAGGCAGAGCGGCGGGAAGGCGGCTCCCAGGGCACTCACGTGTATCTGATCGTTCCCGAAGCGCTTCTGGATCTCATAAAGCAGGCTGCCGTCGTTGAGCTCACTGAGGGTCGCCAGGTCGTCGTTGGGAGCAGGAGGCATTAGCTTGACCTGGGGGGAGATAATAATGATCAGTTATGCTTGCTCCCTGCACAGCTGGGTGTCCCATTTTCAATTACAAGTCAAAAATTTAAAGATCACCTGAGTTTAAAAGATCACCTGTTATTAAAAGATGACATTTCTGTTCCATGAAAAGGAACAAAAAATAATATTCAAAGGCACAGAGAAATGTATTCAGATAAGAATTTCTGCTCTCTACCCACTAGCGAGCACACACACACACCTCCCATGTTACCTGTGTCCCTTGGTCACTACGACTGTCAAAACCATTTCCACATGCTGCCACCTCCCGTTCCCTGCTGTTGACTGAGACAGCCCTGCGCTGCACCCAGCCCGCTGTGCAGCAGGCAGCTAGCGGAGCAGCTCACATATTTGTCGTGTTCCTCAAGCTAACGCAAAACTTCCTGTGTTACTATTGTTGGCCTGGAAAGGGAGCAATGTGTGTGGAACTTGAATTCTGTGTTCATGTAGGATGGGGCCAGATTTTAAAAGTAGATTCTAGCTCTTTGGCTTGTGATTTTTATTCTGTTCAATCTAAACACGCTTTCCCATTCAATTTAATACAAAGGGAAACTTATAAAACTGCAATATTTCAAAAAAGAAGATAAATTTATAGTCTTTAAATCAGTGAAAGTCTATCATTTCCAAGTTGGAAATGAGCATTGTCAACTTTATGTGCATAGTATATGGTCTGAGAGTAGACATTTGATACCAGATGACGGCACTGGTTTTTTACATGTGGAACACAGAGGAACAAAAAGAATAAGAATTTTCTTATTAATGTGAGCTCTTTGATACCCACAGTAAATTTTTAATAACAGCCTGATTTTTTGGTATTATTTGCATTAATGTTTGTATTCTAAAAATTACATTTGCATTATGTGTAATATTTGTATCTGTCTCATACATTGTTTTATTAATTACATATACTATTGCTAAATGATTTGAACTTAAGTGTTACTATTACCATTTACTAGTCAAATATTTGTAAAATCCACTTCTAAAAGTCCCACACTTTTTTTAAAAACCTAAATTTAGGACTTTCTTGGTACTACTAAATGTATTACAATAAGAAATTTTCCCCATGAGTTCATAAGACCATTGCATTCTTTTTCCAGACTGTTTCTAAACCTAACATGTTAATGGTAGAAACACAAACTCCGTATCGCCCACGTCAAAAGATCAAGAGTGATTTGTTTACACATGGAAGGTGTCCGGACTATAGACTATTTGGTGTTGGAGATAAAACCATATACATAAGTGAGAAACACAATATTCCAATTGTTACATGCTTATTAAAACATTGATTTATAAAATATTCCACATCTCAGAAATATTGAGATCAAGCTGTTCCCTTCCACCACAGAGATATACACACTCATATATCTGAGGGTGTCATGTTCTCTACTTTGGCAACATTTAACAGAAATATATTTCAAAATATCTTTTAGAATTAACTTCCACAAAACAATGCAACATAGTTTCATTAAAGTTGGATATTTAATGTTGGGTTAGAGGCATAGTTTTAAGGCTTTGACACTGTCAGGAAAATCTATTTAAAGTAGTTCAGAGTCGTATGCCCAAACTGGCACTTTTTGCTGATAAAAATAGAAATCACACTGCTCCAACTATCATAGTATTTTCTGGGCTGCCAGAAGAATTTTCGGGTTGTGTGATAGCAACTTTTTTACATTATACATGTCATCCCACTTTGAATTGTCCCACAGGCATGGAGTGCGCCTCAGCCTGACAGCTCTCGGGGAGGGTGAGAGTGAGGGTCGCGACAGCTGTCCTGGCTCAGCCCTCACCTGCAGCAACTGGTGGTCTGAGCCAGGCAGGTTTTAATTCTGTATTCATCTGTCATATAAATTCAGGTTAAAAGAGTTAAGACATTAATTTGACCTTCCCCACTTTGAACGCTACAAATGCAAGACCATTGATTATTTGTGTTCATTTGGGCGAACGATGTTTAAGTCCCAGTTCTGTATCTTCCTAGCTGTGAGTGCTTAAATAATGTTTTGTCTTAACATCACGAAGCTGCTTTTAATTCTCTAATGAAACATGAGGACAGCAGTCTGTTCTTCACGAGTGGCTGTGAGGACTGAAGTTACACGGAGGCTGGCACGAGCCTGCCCTGCAGCTCAGTGCGCTCTCACCGTGGTCAGCAGCCACCCATAACGGGCCTGGAGACCAGCAGTGACCTTTCTGCCAGCTTTGCCCTGGCTGCTCTGGATGCAGGAAGGAGGTAGCAAGTATCAGGGGCTCTGGGGCTCTCAGCAAAGATGGTCACCCTCCCTCTGCTCTGGAAATCAGCGTTCTCCTTCACATATTTATTTCTGGGGAAGGGTGGAAGTGTGATATTTAGCATCTTTATTTAATTGTTCAGCATCTTTAATTAATAGATGAGGAACTGGAAGCCCAGAGAGGCCATGTGGTTTTTTCTAGGCTCGCAGAGCTGCCGGGTCCCCAGAAAGAGCTGGAGGATGACAATGGGAACAGTGAAGGATTCCAGCAGACAAGGGTAAATCTCACAACATACACTCAAGATTGGCCACGTTTCCTCACCACAAGTGAGCTAGTGGTTTAGTACAAAGAAGGAGAAAAGGATGATGTCTTTTCCTTCAGAGAATTTACATTCTCTTGTGGGAAGGAATGAGATCTAAGAAGTTTTCAATACAAACAGTCCACGAGGGACAAAACAAGACACTCAGAAAACAGGAAAAATCCCTGTAGATCAGATGGTCAGGTGCCCTGTGAAGAGGTCATGGTGAAACTGAATTTGAAGAGAATTTAAGATGGGCGTCCTTAGGATGTGGAAGAAGATTATTCCAGGGAGAGAGAAGAAAACAGGAAAGGCCTTCAGGTGAGGTCAGTGTGCTGGAGCCCCTGGGATCTGCCTGGTGTGGATGGAAACAGCAGAAGACGTCACTGAAGGAGTCAGGGAAACACTGCTCACCTCCACCAATTACGGAGTCACAGAGGAGTTTATGTGTGTGTGTCAGGGGGGCAGCAAGATCACCCCGAGGTACCAAGGTGATGCTTTGGCAGTTTGTGGAGGGGAGGTAGAGGGGAGCAGGATCAGCTAGCAAGCTCTAGATAAAGAGGCCCTATGGAGGGCTGGAGAGGAGG